TTTGAGAAAGAAGACGGAATAAAAATCCCTTTACTCCATTATCTTTAACCAGAAGTATTCATCTATATTTATGTTTTGTATACCATTATAAAGTATGATATATGATGACTGTATATATCATACTTCCTAATGTATGGATGTATAATCATTTCTAGTTTCCCGTCTTATAAACAGCATTGCTATAAATCTTTGTCCATTTGCACTTATCTGATTATTTCATTAGACAAGATTCCTAGAAACAAAATTACTGTCAAAGGCATATATGCCTGTTTAAAACTTTGATATATTTTACCACATACTATTTTTTAGAAGACATGCTAAAAAGAAGCAACAAAGAGCTGTTGGATCATCGCCTAGAAAGTGAAGTCCCCAAAGGATGCCCTGCACAATAGGACATTCTTGAGAAAGGATTCACAATCGCAATCTTTTTCTTAAAATTCTGTACTAATGATGATAGACATAATGATTTTTATTTGTATATTTCTTTGCTTTGCTTGAGTACATAGTTAAAAAGTTATTAGATTTTTACCTTTTTAATCCATCTCTCTAAATAAATACTGATTAGTTGTTTAACTTTATGCAAGGCACTGTGATAGGCACTGGCCCACAGTAAGTGATACAAAAATACACACATTATTAGCTAGCTTTATTAAAAACTCCTCAAGTATAAAGAGATACAGACAGGCAAATAAATGAATTGCCATATTTGCTTCAACTAACACTTTTTTCCTTCGACGAAATATTCACTTATTCAGACAACAAATATTTATTGAAAATCTACTATGGGCCAGGCATTGTTCTAAGCCCTGAGAATATAGTCATAAGCAAAAGCAGCAAAACTCCCTGCCCTGTGGAACTTACATTCTAGTGAGGGAGAGAGACAATAAACATGATCTACACAATAAATAAGAAACAAATAGATAGTGAGAAGCAGGGACATCCCTAAAAAGGTATGGGAGTGGAGCAATTCAATCAATTGAGCCCCCTACTCGAGATATTCACACTTGAAAGGAGGCTGCACTGCCCTCATCTTTCATAGCGCACTCAGGATATCATTAAAGGAAAAACATCTAAATTGTATTTTAATGGTACTGAGAAAAGAGGAGTAAGGTACAAGAACCCTGAAATATAGGGCATGAGTCGCTACCTTGTTGCCTGATCCCGTGGGCAGGGCTAGGAGGGGTTGAGGTGGGGGGCCGGTGGAGAGGGAAGAGAGAGATTATAATTTTAGATACAGAGGCCATGTAAGGTCTCGCTGAGAAGGGGATTTTGAGTAAGGATCTGAAGTAAAAGAAGCAGCTAGCTGTACAGGAATATACCTAGAGAAAGAGCCCTCCTAGAAGAGGAAACGACAAACCCAAAGGTCTAAATCACATAGCATACACAGCACCATGGCAGTCAGGAGTTAGTGAAGGGTGGAGAAAAGGCCAAATGGGGGATAGAGGAATTGGGGACAAATAAGACTTAAAAAATATGATGGGGTTGAGCAGTGAAAAAACAAAGGATAAAACCCCATATTATTATTATATCTATTGCTTGAAACTTGGAGTAGTTTTATAAGGCAAAATGAGTTTTTAAGGACTAGGAAAACGAAGGTTAAAGGATGCTGTTTTCAAGTATCATAAAGTGGTATTACAAGTACTATATGAACTTGTTCTCTGCATCCACAGAAAAAGATTTGCAGATAATTTACTAGGCCTGTGCCAAAGAGATCAATCAGATGACCTCTGGAGATCCCTTCCAGCAATCTGTAAGCCTCAACACAGTGTTTCTTAGGCAAAGAATTATTGACGTTTCAGTTTAGGAAGTTGGCCAAAGAAAATCATCAGTATTTCATTGTATTGAACATGAACTCAATTGCTCTAAGTCACTTTCCTTCTCGAAAACCTTAAATGGCTTCAGTGTTATGGGAAAATAGCTGAAAGCATTAAAGGCTATCTGTGATCTGGCTATAATGTATGGTTTTAGTCTATTCTTTGCTCTAGTCTGACTTATATATTCATTATTCCCCAAATATGTTTTATGAAAGAGTACTCACCTTCACATCTGATCACACCAATGCTGCTCCTAGAATACCTTTCCTACTCTCTAGTTATCTAAGAGCTATCTTTCTAAGAGTAAATTTGAGCAACAAATCTTAATGAGCAATTTATCAGGAAGTATCAAGAACCTTAAAACTGCTCCTAACTTGGAGTAATTCCCTTCTGAAAATCTCTTCGCCCTTCGTATAGTTTTGGATATGTTTCCTCGGGCAAGGGAAACAAAAGAAAAAATAAACAAATGGGTCTATACCAAACTAAAGAGTTTTTCCACAGCAAAGGAAACCATCAAAAACGAGAAGATAACCTGCTGAATGGGAGAAGATATACCAATGATACATCCAATAAGGGGTTAATATCCAAAATATATAAGGAACTCACACAACACCAAAAAAAAAAAAAAAATCCAATTAAATGATGGGCAGAGGAACTAAATAGATTTCTCCAAAGAGGACATACAGATAGCCAATGGACATATAAAAGGTGCTCAATATCACTAATCATCAGACAAATACAAATTAAAATACAATGAGATATCACCTCGCTCCTGTCAGAATAGCTATCATCAATAAATCAACAAACAACATGTGTTGGTGAAGATTGGTGGGAGTGTAAACTGCTGCAACCATTATGGAAAACAATATAAAGTTTCCCCAAAAAATTAAAATTAGAATTACCACATGATCCAGCAATTCTACTTCTGGATATTTATCTGAAGAAATCCAAAACACTAATTCAGAAAGACATATGATCGCTATGTTCACTGAAGCATTATTTACAATAGCCAAGATATGGAAACAACCTAAGCGTCTATTGATAGATGAATGGATAAAGAAGAGGTGGTATCTACATACAATGGAATATTAATCAGCCATAAAAAAGAATGACATCTTGCTACCTGTGACAACATGGCTGGACTCAGAGGTATTATGCTAAGTGACGTAAGTCAGACAGAGAAAGGCAAATACCACATGATTTCACTTATACGTGAAATCTAAAAAACAAAATAAACAAAACAGAAACAAACTCATAGATACAGAGAACAAACTGATGGTTCCCAAATGGGAGGGGGTTTGGCAAAAGGGTGAAAAAAGGGGAATAAGACTTACAAATTGCCAGTTATAAAAACAGTCATGGGGATGTAAAGTACAGCATAAGGAATATAGCCAATAATACTGTAATAACCATGTATGGTATCAGATGGGTACTAGACTTATTGGGGTGATCATAAGTTACATACATGTCTACTCACTGTTTTACACCTGAAACTAATTGAATATTGTATGTTAACCGTAACTGGAAAAAAATTTTAAGCAAATAAATAAATAAATAGAAGGAAAAAAGTCTCTTTTCAGTTCGTTTTCCCAAATCAGCAACCATATACAATCCACACATGGCATGTGGTTATTGGGACTCATATCTCTTTGGATCTAGAGCAGGCCCCCTTCCTTAATTAACATTTTCCATGCCACTGACTTGGAGACGCAAGGATGAGCCAATGTTGCAAGTCCAAAAGCCAGCTGGTGGCAGAATTCCTTGTTGCCCAGGGAAGATCAGTCTTTGTTCCATTAAGGTTTTCAACTTGGTTAGGTGAGGCCCACCACCTTATGGAAAACAATCTGCTTTACTCAAAGTCCTCCCATTTAAGTGTTAATCTCATCCAAAAATACCTGCAGAGAAACATCCAGAATGTTTATGCAAATATCTGGGCGCTGTGGCCTACTTGATATGATATATAAAATTAACTATCGCAAATATATTTCAGTAAGAATGTGTTGTGGGTCGAATTGTGTCTTCAAAAAGATAGGTTTAGGTCCTAACTCCCAGTACCTATGAACGTGACCTTACTTAGAAATAGGGTCATTGCAGTTGTAATTAGTTAACATGAGTCATTCTGGAGTCAGGTAGGCTCTTAATTCAATATAATTGATATCCTTATAAGCACATAAAAAGACATACAGAAAGAGATATGCATAGAGGAAAGGATGTGAATGCAATGTGATGACAGAAGCAGAGATTGGATCTATGGTGCCATAGCCAAGGAATGCCAAAGATTGCTAGCAATACCAAAAGCTAAGAGAAAGGCATGGAACAGATTCTCCCTCAGAGTTTCCAGTAGGAACAAATCCTGCCAATATCTTGATTTCTGATTTCTAGCCTCTAGAACTGTGAGAATAAATTTCTACTGCTTAAGCCACCAAGTTTGTGGTACTTTATTACAGCAACCCTGAGAAACTAGTATAGGCAACAGACAAAATATTATGTTCTGATGTCCATTCTTTCTTGTGCTTTCATCAACTTGTGATAAAGTTAGGTTTATGCACGTCTATTTGTTTTCAAATTTTTGAATTGCTTTTTTAATTTTTGGCTATATTAGTTATTTATGTTTACAAAGTCAAGCTATATAATAAAGTATATTTAGGGAAGTCTTACTTCCCCTCAATCCTTCCCATCTTGTTCTTTACCTCCCCAAAATATTTTTAAAAATCAAATATCAAATGGTTGTCTCTGGACAGTAGAATTGTGTTTCCTAACTCTTCTTTGTGGTTTTCAAATCAAGACAAAATAACATGATAAATACATACACACACACATACATATTATGATTTGTCCCACAGGGCCAGCTCAAGTTCCATGATCTCGGTGAAACCTCCCCATAAGTACTTTCTCTTTTCTGAACTTGTACATTGTTTACTATCTATACTGCTCACTTAGCCCTTTGCATCGATCAATAAATAAATTAAAAAATTAATGCACTGAGATCTGAAGGGCACCATGTTAGATGCTATGGGAACACAATGTGTTATCAGTTAAGTTTTCATGTACGGTAACCTCCTTGATTAAGATATATACTGAAGCAAGAACTTTTTTATATTCTTCATGATAGCCATCACTGCTGACTGATAATACCAAACTCTTTTGCACAAAATGTTAACAAAAAATAATAAAAACTGAAACAGATTGATATAAATCCCTTTAATAAAGTATGTCAATGACAATTTCATTTTTAAATAAATATATTATTAAAAATCATGTAAGAGCATTTTGTTATAATCATTAAGAATGATGTGAGACTGCTATTCCCTCTGCAGAAATGCTATAAACAGATGCAAAATGATCAAAGGCTGATGTAATAATGAATCTCAAGTAAGTAGCATGGCCATCATCCTGTGCCTGTAGGGGAAAATCAATATGGACGCTCTTAGCAATTCTAATGAACTGTTAAACAAGCAGTTAGCAAAAGAAAGGGTTCAATGATGCAAAAGTAAAATTCTAATTATAACAATATATAAGATCATATTCAGAAGAGAAGCCAGCTACATATAACAGTATAGTTGTTCTAGTGTGTATCAGCTGAATATCAGCCATGCTTTGATGAAAAATTGCATGTGGAGCTAAAAATGACATTTCTGACCAATTTTTTCAAAGTGTCTTCTTAAAGTATTTTTCATAATAAGAGATTTCCTTTGGTTAATGATGCCTCAGAATATACCCTGAAACATTACTACACTTTTACATTTATATAATTTTTCTGTAAAGCAATTTGGCAATATATTTTAAAAGCTATAAATATGTTTATACCCTTGAACCTAGTAATTCCATTCCTTGAAATTTAATCTTATTAAATAATTAAAAAGGTAAAGATGTCCCTTGTAGTATAATGACAAAGGGAGGAAAAAGGAAATTAGTTAGCATTTGCCTATTTGCATACATTTAAACTTAAAATTATAATTATAATTATAAAATTATAATATTAAGTTTAAAAATGATACAAAATTATTGACATATTACCATTATAACTATATGTGATATATATGGTTGACGACTGGAAAAAAGTAGGTATAGTAAAAGCTGTTGTGACAGGATGATAAAAATATAGGGAATTTTCAGCCTCCCAGTCCCTCTTACTATTTTCTAAATGTTCTATAATGCTGGGAGGCTCCCTGATCCACAGTAAGTCCTGAAACAAAATCCTCAGCAGAGACGTACTAATCATAACCAACTGGTAAAGATGGAGAAAAGTAGGAAGATAAAATTCAGTCTAATTATTTTCTGTCCCCCTCATTGGCCTCCCCAGTCACTGGGCACATTTGGCTGGTAGAAAAGAGAATGAAAAGGGTTCAAAAACTTCCTACAGACTCTTTTGAAACACTGATTTCATAGCAGCTCCCAGAAAGTTGTGAAAAATGAAATTTAACGAACAAGGTACCACTTTAACCTTCATTTCAAGAGGCTTTAATTAAATACTACCACCTAAAAAAAAACACACACTCACTTTTTTCATGTTTTTGTGTTTGTCTAAAACCAGAGCCTGACAAACTAGCAGGAACAGAAAAACTCCTGATGAGGCAGCAGCTTCCTCATCAACGGGCATTCATTCCACTTGACAAGCAAAGCCCAATGGAATGTTGTCGAAAAATGCTTGTTCTCTTTTCACCTCATCTCTCTTTGGCTTATTTGTTGCTGATCCTATGCTCCAGTTCCCCTTATCTGAATCTCTCTTGTCCTTTCATGCTTAAATTAACATCCGATTTTGGCATCTCAACCTTTTTTGATTACTATTCTAAAAGGCCTACAGAATCAAATGAAAGAAAGCAAAGAAAGTACTTCCAAATAAATGAATGAAATAATTAAAATAAAAACAAATAAGTGAATTGTTTTATCCTTGCCTGTCATTCTGTCAGTTAGATAAAAGCCTAATTTATAAACGCTACATTTAGATTATAACATTATTGCAAATAACCTTCTCTATTGGTTGACTAAGTACAGAACCTATCATATCATGAGAGTATTAACTTTATGACTATGGAGACAGGTTTAAAATTTAAATATATTGTGCTGGCTAAAGATAATGTTTATCTCTACAAAGTATATTTACTTACCATAATTTCTTCATTTTGAAGCTGCCCCTCTGTGTGTACTAGATCTAAAATACAAATTTAACAGAAATGAGTTAGGGCTCAAAGTACATGAGAGATAACTACTGAAATTTATGTTCAGCAAAACACACTATCTGGTAATCTAAAATTACACCAAATTTACCTGTGTTTTGGCATTTAAATTTAATACAAAAATAGAGATACCTGATAAAAAAAGGTACAAAAGATAAACTATGAGTTATAAAATATCTCTTGTGAGTACAAACATAAGGAAATGTAAATGTAAATTTTAGTAAAGGAATATAAAGGAAGGACTTGATAAAAGTGAAAATCCCTTTTAAGGATCAAGCTACTAACAGCAATTGCAGGCCTAAAAGGAGCCATCTTACTGTTTCCATGAGTAATGACTAAAGCTGTTTCTCAGAGTAAATTTTTACTATGATGCAGAATTCTGTTGCCCTGCTTTGATCTTTACTGGTATCCAACTTTAGAAAATCTTTACTCATATTATTTTAGGACAGATTAATTTATTTGGTCATGAGTTAATCATACCAAACATTTTTTTTGGAAACACAAAAGATTTAATTGATGTAATAAAAAATACTGACATTTAGAAATTAATTTTATTTTGTATTAAAATAGTCAGTGTACATAATTTTAAAAGGCACATAGTAAAAAAAGAGAAGTCCCTGGGAAGATTATATACGACTTTGTTTCCTAACCTTTCTCTGAGGTAACAAAAAATAGTAATCCTCTGCTTGATCTCTCCTTTCTCCTCCAGTCCTGCTTCCTAGAAGTACATATCATTTTCAAATCTTTAAGCTGTTTTTCCTGGAATTATACTATATTTATATTCCTTTTCTTGATTTGTCAAATTTTTTATTGATTTTATATTATAGCAGATGAAAACTTAGATCTCTTAAACTAATATCCTCTTCCTCTTCCTCCTGCAACTTTTCCCTCCTGCCATCCTCTCAATGTTGAAATCAATTATTTGGTTACATTATTGTCTATATAAATTTTATTTGCTGTTGAAATATGTAATGAATTATGATTACATTTTCCTATTCAACTCTTCCCCCACCAGGAGTTAATAATAAACTCATTTCATTTGCTTAGTTTTTAATTATGAAAAACTGGAAAATTTCAAACATCATAAAAGAAGACAGATCATAACTAACTCCTACATATATATACCCATCATCTAGATTTTATAATTACTAACATTTCACCATACTTGATTTATCTAATTTTTTTTGCTAAAGTACTTTAAAGCAAGTCTAAGACATCATGACATTTCACCTCTAAATATTCGATTATCCATCTCTAAATAATAAGAAATGTATATTTTTTACATAATCATACCATTATCATATTAACATTAAAAATAATGCTTTAATATCATATAATACCCAGTCTATACTCAAATTTTCCCACTGTCCCCAAAATATTTTCATAGTTGATTTATTCAAATCAGACTTGTCTCTTTTAATCTTGAACTGCTTTCTCTCCCACACACATATTTTTCCCCATGCCACTGACTTATTAAAGAGACCAGGTCAGTTGTCCTGTAGATACAGCAATCTCCAACATTTTTGGCACCAGAGACCAGTGCTCCTATGAGAATCTAATACCTGATTATCTGAAGTGGGGCTGAGGTGGTGATGCTAGCACTGGGGAGTGGTTGCAAATACAGATGAAGCTTTGCTCACTCGCGCCAACGCTCACCTACTGCTATGCGGCCCAGTTCCTAACAGGCCACAGACTGGTACAGATCTGCTACCCGGGGGTTGGGGACTCCTGCTGTAGAATGTCCCACATTTTGTCATTTTGTGTCCTCATGGTTTCATTTAATTTGTTCTTTTATCCTCCATTATTTCCTATAGCTTGGAAATTAGAGCTAAGGACTTGATTATATTCAGGGTTTGAGGCCTTCATCAAAAGTCTGATGATCTTTGTCTTTTGCTACTTATGAATAAATCATTTGAAAACTGCATGCATGAGCCAGGCTCACTGACCAGTGGACTTTGATAGCGTGACCAGGAATGAACTAGCCTTTGTCAGCATCCATAGATTTTTTTTTCTGGCGCCATTCAGTTTCCCCAAAGATGAATCCTCCTATCTCCTACCTGGGGCTATAATCTTGGTTGCTGTCATAAACAGCAGAGCACAGGAGGAGTTCCCACTATTCAATACACAAGCTTCCACCTAAATCCCTGTTTCCCTCCATGTCTCAATCACTCTCTCTATTATGCCTGGTAAAAAGAGCCTCAATATTCAATGTTCCAAGTCATTCCTTGGAGTGGTTTGTGGGGGAATGGAGTGGTCACCTAGCTTTGTGGGTTAGAAGGTACCTAGGGTTCAAATACTCTGTATATAGATGTTCAACTAATGACCCTTTTCTTCTGGCCAGCGTCTCACTCACATTTCCCATGGTACCATCTGCTTCAAATTCTAGACTTTTCCAGGGTTCTGTTGGGAAAATTGGCTTGCTTCTCAGTGATTTACTCCTTGGCCGGCACTTAAGTTATAACCTACTCCATTCAACTACAGAAATCACTTCTCCATCTGCGTTTTCTCTTCCACAATATATACCTCTCACATCTGCTTTGATCTCCTGGTTTTTTGTGGGTTTTTTTTTTTGTCCTTGTAGGTTTATGCTTCTTTTTATTCCTTTACTATTATTTTCATGGCATTGTGGGAAGGAAAGAAGATAGCTACATGAAAGCAATATATGTTTAACTAGAGGCTACTAATTCTGCTGATACTTAAACAGTACCATTAATCAGGAAGGAAAGACAAGAAACTAATATTTATTGTTTGTCTACCATACACCAGACTTCATGATCACAAAAAACTTAAAAGGTAGATATCATCTTCATTTTTCAGATAAGGATTCAGAAACTCAGAAACATTAAGTAACATGTTAACAGTTACATTACTACTAAGTAAAGAAGCAGTCTTGTGGCAAACCTGGGTTTTTCTAGGCTCTAAATATGTCACAAGAATCATTCAGGTCATCTGTTTTCACCAAAATGCAGACTGATTGGAAACAGAGTTAAAGAACAATTCTCTACTCCCTCATGCTCAGAAAAATGCTGGTGAAACAAGCACATACCTCTTTCAATCCACTGCTCAAAGTCAACTGGCTCGTTAGAGGTACTCTTTTCAATCCTCAAGGTTCGCACTGACATTGTAAATAAACAAAATAAGTAAAGTAGTATCTACATGATTCTATGTTCTGTCCCTCTATTCCTTTTTTCCTGTGTCTGAGACTGTCAGGCATTGGTGGGACTACACAAAGAACTGGGATCAGGAACACCATGTTCTGAAAATAATTCACTTACTCTGTTTTTCTATAAGTCCCCATAGTAAAATACACTCTTGTGTCACTGTAATCTTACAAGTGTTTGCGAGCATACAACAAAGAGCTAGTGGAGCCTTTCTGAATTTGGTATCACCAAGATTTTTTTTCTATACAGATAATAATAATAACAGTAGTAGTCTTGGTCATAAATCTTTACAGAGAATTTACTATGTATGAGTCAGGCATATTTATTCATTTACTCTTGACTACAATCTTATGAGAATAGTATTACTAACCTACTTTACTGATGAGGAAACAGGCTTAGAGAAATCAGGCAACTTAGAGAAGTCAGGTAAAGTGTTAAAAAATATAGAGGTAGCAAGTGCCAGAACTGAAATTTAAATTTTAGGTCTGTCTGACACCAGAGCCTCTACAATTGATGACAGAAGTGAAACTTAACAAGACAGCAGTCATCTTCCTTCTGCAATGATTTTTCTCCATTACCCTAACCCAGCCCCCACTACACCAGACCGATTTATCCCCTTCTCTGTTCTGTGATCGGTGGAGGCGGGGTGAGGACCCCTGTGGACTGCATCACGTGGACTCACTTGTCCAATGGCTACTGGTTTGATCTAGCTAATTGGAGACACTGGGAGGAAATTGGAGGGCAGTGGGGAAGTAGAGCAGGTTGTTTTTTCTCTACTCCCTTCCTGCTTCAGTGCCATGTCTTTGAAAGTGGTTATGTCCCTTCATGATTAAAGCTCCTGCCAGGCAGGGCCATTATTTACAGGCTCTGGCTCTCACTGGACTCCAGTAACACTACTTCCTACCCTTGGCCCAGGGGTGGAAATGGTTTCCTGCTGTAGCCAGTTTCTGGGTATCTCACCATCCCTGGTTTATTCCCTTAAGCCAGAACATAATTTTGTAGGTAATCCCATCAATCAAGTCTCTTCATTTGAACCATCTGAAATGTATTCTGTTTCTTACCATGATTCTGTCAGATATACTTTATCCTTAAATAAACATAAGGCAGGATTAGAATGATGTTACAATGGGAGACTCTCCTCCTAAATCTCTCAGAAAATCTCATTATTAATAGAAGAATCAAAATTATCCAATATAAATAATCAGGGTTATCATATTTTCAGAAAGAATTTGACAGAGAACCCCAAGCCAAATAAATCTGTAATAAATATATCAAGGAACCTGGCATTCTGGCAAGCTGGCTTCTTATGTTCATAATAGGGTCTTTTGCCAAAGACTTTCACATAGTAAATTGCATGGAAATTATTATGTGCTTTGGAAGGGTTTCAAATTTGGAGTTTCAGAGAGTCTAACTGTGCTTAAGGCAGTTAACCCATACTTTCCACTCTCCCACTGCAATAAAACTGGATTCCATGATGCAAAGAAAATTAGTGTTTTGCCAAAAGTTTACATATGTGCCCTCTGCCTATAGAGAAATTAAAAGATGATAAAAATTAATGTATGATTTGCTTACCAAAGTAACTTTGGATTACAAGCCTTTCAATCCTCACATGTTTGTGAAAACAAACAATGAACTCCTGGGGGAACATTCCTGTGGTGGTCCAAAATGTTTCTAAATTCCTATTGTTAATTTTAAAGAAAAAGAGAAAGGAATAGCCAAATAAAAATTACACATTCACAAAATTCTAGTGAATAAGTATTTAAAAAAATAAATGACCCTTGGATTCTTGCAATCCTTTTCTAACTGTTCATTCTGCCTCTAATATTTCCCCAACTTTAATAGCTCTTCTTTACTACTACCAGATATATTTCCTAAAAACACAGAAACAGAATTTATGTCATTCTTATCGAAAAGCCTTCAGTGGCCCCTTATTGCCTATAAATGTAAATGTATTAGTATGGCATTTTATGACCTATACAATCTGGTCCCATCATTAAAGTACTATCTCCATTCCCATCACGATATCATCTCACATCACTGTAGTCATAGCGAGCCAGATAAAATTCTGCAAACAAGTCATGCAGGCTCATGCTCCTGTGCCTTATTACATATGTAATAAATTCCACTGTATAATGTATTTTTTTCCCATTAAGCAGTCAGTGTCTTTCAAAAAAATTAAAAGAAAAAAAGGTTTTATTTATATTTACCCAAATATTTATCATTTCCAATGCATCAACTTTCTTCCTGTAGATTTGAATTTTCATTTAGTATTATAATCATTTCAACTACAGTACTTCTTTTAGCATTTCCTACGATGTTGGTCTACTTGTGATGAATAAAATGTCTTTATTCTATCCTAATTTTTGAAGGATATTTTAGCTAGATATAGAATTCTGGTCTGACAGGGGTTTTTGGGGGTGGGTCTCTCTTTTCCAGCATTAAAAAATATTGTTGCATTGTTATCTGGACTCCACTGTTTGTGATACAAAGTCAGCTGTAACAGGTACTACTGTTCCCCTGTATTTAATGTATTTTTTTCTCTAGCTGTTTAAAAATTTTTTATTTTTATTTTTTAGCAGATATAGTCTCTTTGTATTTACCCTGGTTGAGGTTTGCTGAGTTTCTTGGATTTGTAAGTTGGCATTTTTTAATAAGATTGGGGAAATCTGGCCAAAAAGTAGAAATAACCCAGATATCCATCAGCTGATAAATGGATAAATAAAATGTGCTATATACATACAACAGACTATTATTTGGCAATAAAAAGAAATGAAGCACTGATATGTGCTATAATATGAATAAACTTGAAAACATGTAAGTGAAAGAAGCCAGTCACAAAAGACCACATATGTATGATTTCATTTATATGAAATGTCTGAATAGGCAAATCTATAGACACAGAAAGTAGATTGGTGGGGATAGGGAGGAGACAGGGTAATTTCAATAGGTTCTGAAATTTCTTTTTAGGGTGATCAAATGTTCTAAAATTGATTGTGCAGATGGTTGTATAACTCTTGTGAATATACTGGAAGCCAATGAATTGTACACTTTAAATAGGTGAATTGTATGGTATGTGAATAATATGTTAGTAAAGATGTTAAGAAAAAGAAAAAAAAAGAAGCAGGTTTCCTAACTTACAATTCTGGGTTTTTAATACTATGCTTAATATTTCATAATTTTAAAATTTACATTTTTATGGTTTTAAATATTATTTAAATAAATTTAATGGCTTTTGATTGCCCTATGTTTTTTCTCGGGTGCTTTTAATGAACAAAACCAATATAATAACATCAAATAGTATGCAGCGACATATGGATTTAAAAATGACATATAACAATCCTCATTATTAGGTATAATAAAGTCATGAAAATAGTAGTTTTCTTTAAATGAGGCTTTACAGCTAATGACTGTTTAATATCTATTACCTCATATGATTTTTTCATAACTCTGAGATAATCAGGGAAGGTAATGTTAATCCCATTTTTCAGACCTGAAAACTGAAGCTCAAAGAGTAACGCATATACTTTTAGCCCAAGATAACATATATAGTTCACTTATTCAGGAATTTTAACTGTAAATCTAGTATTCTTCTACATTATCCCAAAAGGACTAATTCTCTAATTTTTCTGTTAATTTGTTTTTTTCTAATGCAGAGCTTCTTTTCCCCTTTTTCACTGATGTATAAAATGCCAGATGGCAAAAGAAGAGTCAAGGGCAAATAAAAATATCATCACTTTCTTTAATTCTCATTTCTGGGAAATAGAAAGTTGGAAGCACTGTCCTGTAGGGGCAAATTTATAGCACTGTTTTCTCTAAATAATTCTATGGTTACTTCCATTTAGATTAACCAATGTATGAGCAGAGAATAATTTTTATATCTACCATATAAAGTCTAATTCTATTTGTTGGAAATGTATATGAATTAAAAGTCTCTGATGTGCTCTATTCAGTTATGAGGTAACTACTTTTATTTCATATGGTTTTCTGTATTAAGGGTTTTGTCTAACCTAAAAAATATTACATCCTTAACCATTCATTAATATGCACTGATATGTGGAAAGATCTATATTTCTGACAAACAACTTGAGGCAAATCTTTATAGGTATATGTATTCTCACACCAGTTCCCACATTAATTTCCCTACTCCCAGGCAGAGTGGGATAAATAACTATTACCTGAATTTCAGAAAGTAAAACATTAAGAAGGATTAAGAACAGGCAAAAAACCAAAAAAAAAACCAGATAGTAAGTTTTTGATGCAAACTTTAAGTTTGAGTTATCATTGTGTAGTACAAAGAACCACAAACTAGGAGTTAGAAGATATGGGTGTTAATTTTGATTCTGCTAATTGGTTATCTGTGTGATTTCGAGCAAGTCATTTTACCTCTGAGGTTGAAAATCCTTTTTTTTTTTTTTTGCCTTTTATTCTCTAAGCTTACAATGTGGGTCAAATAACAAAACATTTAGGAAACTATAAAGTCCTATGCAAATGTAAAGTAACTTATGCATATATGTATGTGTATGTGTAAATACTCAGCTACTCTCCAGTATTAGCTGAGTTTAATATTTGATGGTCTATCTCAACCTACTCAACAAATATTTTAAGACACTGTGGAGTTAAAGATGAATAAGTCACAGTTGCTGACTTCTAGGAATTTGCAGTTAAGAGACAAACATTAAAGAGGAGTAATTATATAATAAAGAGATAAATAAGGTAATAGAGGTATATACTGAATTCTACTGAAGTTCCAACAAAAAAGGTAAACTCATTCTACTTGAGGAAAAGAGACAGATATCAAAGAGGAAATAACAATTAGGTTTAAAGGAAGAGTTTGAGTTGTTAATATTTATCCAGATACATGGGCTTCACAATAGAACACAAAGAACAAGATCTGTGTTACAACTGGCTCTGCCTTCAATAAAACTAATACTTGACCTCTCTCACATGTCTAAAATGAAAGGTTTAGATAAGATGAACTCCTAAGTCCTTCCAGCTCTAAAATTATAAGGTTCTATGAGTCAAACTCTAGTCACTATACAAATACCAAGAAAGAGAACTCGAGAGAGTAATAAAATAGCCAGAGTTCTCCCGTTAATTACTTTTTCTTGGAATTTAAAAGTCTGAGAATGATATTTATCTCTATCCAGAATAAGCTCTAGCACAGTGAAGAGTAGAAACTGGAATAATATCAAGAAGCTGAGAAGCAAACTATGCAGGTGGATAGCAAGAAATGAAACATTTGGTTTAGAAAAGATATTGCTTCGATTAATAAGGAAATAGGCAATACATAGGAAATTACAATGTTTATATTCCTATTTACTAAGAAAAATTTGGAATAAAACCATAACCAGATATTAAAGTGTGCACTTGTACAAAATGACATCGTTATTGTTTGAAGTTTTGCCCTGTTAAACCACTTTTTAAAAAAACTATCTGTATAAAAAGGTCAGTTTAGGCATTATCAAGAAAAGCATCAAAAACCTAAATATATACAACTGAATTAGTTTCAGAAATGGTGCCAAAGGTGGATATTGTCAGGTACTATCTATGTCACCAAATGTTTATTAAACTATGTTTAACAGTGCTAATTGTTATAAAATACAGTCCCAGTACTCAAAGAGTTCACTGACCTAATATCAAGACGTTAAAGAAGAAAGAATAATAACTCTTACCCATCAATCATATTTTCAGGGGGGTGTTTTTCATCACTTGATGTAGCTAAAATCACTTCAGTCCCCTCAGAGCTCAAACAGAGATCAACTTTTCTCATCTTGAAGTGTTTAACCTGCAAATAAAACAGTAACAACAAAAGCAACTTATTAATTCTCTGCACTTTAACTGAGAAAAGGAAGAAAGCCTGTTGCCTAGCACACAGCTTAACAACCAAGCTATTCAACAAGTGGGAGGGATTCTAACATGTTTATTTACATAAGTAGACTTCTGACCTCTCACAGGAATAATCTGTAAGATATGAGTATTTCTAATACTCTACTCCATAAAACAAGTTCTTGACTACTCTGAAATCATTTTTCTGCTTCTAAAATTAAAAACTCTCAATAATTATGCAGAAACTTAACAAGTTAAGGTGATATAAATTAGTGGGTAAATTTTTTAAAGTTATATTTATGAAATTAAAAAAATACTTGGAGCATAAAAACAGATTCTTTGTGACTATTTATACATTTATCAATGAAGTAGCAAACAAATATTATTTACATCTTAAAAGACATCTTGTTATTTTTTGAGCAGAAATGGAAGAGATAAGATATCTTTTTACTTATTTTTAAATTAATAAATCATTCACTTGGGTCACGGACTTAAGGACACTTCTGTTGTATGGTAATATTTTAAGTTTAATGGTAATATTCTGAAAGGATATTATTGAGTTTGACTATGAACCTTGGTGAGTAAGACAGAAAGAAGACAGAGAAGATTCTATCTGATCTCACTCACCCTCCTCCTTGATCTGGTGGGCACAAATCAATATATAGGTACAAAGTGACTGGAAAAGCTGTATCTACAAAGAATCAAAAGAACATTCAGAAAAGTGAGAAAAGCTTCCAATACCCTTCTTACCCTGACCCCAGTCTAACTTTTCAAAAAAAAAAAAAAAACTATTTCAAATAAACAAATGACAAAGTACAAAGAATATTACACATATTAAACAACTATGTATCACTGCTTAGATTTTTAAAATGTTAACATTTTTGCCATATCTATTTGAAAAAATTTTTTGAGAAATATGTAGCCCTTACCTGGCCCTATTCCCTTCCTTAATGAATATCCTTCCTGACTATATTTTTATACCATTATCATATATTTAATGCATAAGTATCATATATATATATCTCCAAAAAATAGGTACTGTTCTTTGAAAACTTAGGTGTTTTTGCAATGTATATATCTTTTTGCTACTTGCTTTTTTCATTTTGACTGCTGTAAGGTATTTCTCCATTGCTCTAATGATGGATATTTAGGTCGGTTTCCAATTTTGCTATTATAAACAAATTTGCAATGCACATCTTAGGCACATGTGGGAGAAAGTCTTTCTGATAAAAGAATTTCTTTATAGAAGAAAAATTGCAGAAACTTAGAATCAGTATATCTTCAAGTAAATAATTGATCAATTTGATCTCTAAATTATAACAATTTATAGTACCATCAGCAGTGTATGAGAGTCTCTGTTTCCTCATATTCTAACAATCACCTACTTGGTATCTCGTTGGTGTGAAATGGTATCTCAATAAGATTTCTATTTGTATTGCCAAGATTATAACTGAGATTGAATACTGTTTATGTTTATGGGCCATTCAGGCCTCTTCTTCTGTTATTTGCTTTTTCTTATCCTTTGCTCATTTTTCTATTGGATTATTCTTTCAAAAAAAATTTGTCCATTTCTTTTTGATTTGTAGGTATTTTTAAAACAGAATATTCTGTATACAAATCCTTTGTTATATTGTTTTGTAAATATCTTCTACTCTGTGGCTTGATTTTTTTTTAACTTTGCTTTTTTTGTTTTGTTTTGTTTTGATGTGTAAAAGTTACCCCCCCACACACACTCCCTTTGTTAATGAACTATAACACTCATCCAGAAAAGAATACAAATCACAAGTATATAGCACAATAAATTTTCACAAAGTAGACATATCCAGATAACCACTACCCAGGTAAAGAAATAGAACAGTATCAGCAATTGAGAAGTCCTCCTTATGCCCCTTTTCAATCATGACCCCACCTTCTTTCCCAAAGGTAAGCATGGTCCTTATTTCTAACACTATAGATTCATTTTGCCTGAACTTCATATACATGTAATCATACAGTTTATACTCATTGGTATCTGGCTTCACTCATTATTATATTTTTGAAATGCATCCACGTTGTTGTGTGTAACTAAGTAGAGCTACATCTTAGCCCTCATCCAGCTTCATTCCTGATTTAAAAAAAAAAAAAAATCAGCCTCTAAGTGGAGCTTCACAGGCAAACTGGGTATAAACTAAAGCAAAGAAAGATTTTTGTGACCTCAGGTACTTAGATCCCAAAGACCTCATGAAAGAGGGAACTGATCTCACTCCTGAATATCAGAAATCAGAGGTAAACTGAAACTATTTAAATAAAACTACAACTCAGTCCAATTCCAGCACAATTCGGAGCTGGACTGAAGTGTTTTGCCCCTTATCCCAGCTCCTAAACAAAGAAAATTGTGTGTTCTCTCTGGGGAAAAATCACTATATACTTTTGTGTCTGTTCTTTTAAACACAATGTCCAGCATACAGTCGTCTGAAGCAGATCTATAGTTGACTCAGGTTCTGGAATTCGCAGACAGAGATAAAGATAAATACTATAAATTTGTTAGAGAATTTAGTAAAAAGATGCACAGATGGGTGAACAGAAAGGGAAGTTTAGCAGAGAAGTGGAAACTCTGAAACACAAAATGGAAAATCTAGAACTGAAAAATGTCATACCCGAAATAAAGATTTCAATAGATGGGCCTAACATCATACTAGAACCAGCATATGAAAGAGTCATTGAACTTAAAGATAGTCCAATAAAAATGATCCAAAGTGAAACACAGAGAAAAAAATGAAAATAACAGAACAGAGCATCAGATACATGTGAAACATAATCAAACTATTCTGATACATGTAATTGGAGTCCCAGAAGGAGAGGAGAAAGAGAATATAGTGTAGAAGAAAACTATAAAGAGATATGGCTGAAATTTTTCTAAAATATATAAAAGACATAAACTCACAGATCCAAGAAGTTCATCAACCCTTAGTTGGATAAATACAAAGAGGATCCCACCTAGTCTCACCTTAGTGAATTGCTGCAATTTAAAGAAAAGAGGAAGGGGGGAAAGGCAGTCAAAATAAAAAACACATAATATCAAGGCAAACAATAAGAATCAGAATTGACTTCTCATCAGAAACAATGGAAGCCAAAAGACAATGGAATGACATCTCTAAAGTGCTAAAAGATAAAAAATAGAATTCTATATCCAGCAAAATCATCCTTCAAAAGTGAAAGCAAAATAAAGATATTTTCAGGCAAACAAAAGCTGAGACAATTTTGAAATTAATATTTTGTAGAGAATTATCCATTTCTTCTTTTTATATTTATTGGCACAAAGTTCACTTTTGTTGTAATTTTAAAATCTGATAGTGTTAAAAGCTGTGGTAAAATTGGTCAAAAAAAAGGCATATATTCTAATATTTTTATTTGTGCCTTTTTTTCTTGCTTTTAATACTACTGGAACCAGAGGACTGGTGTGGGAGGAACATTGTTAACCCCTAGTTTGAAGAAAAGAAAGATCATGAATTCCTAGAAATACACATTGATGAACTTGGATGTTAATTCTCAACAAAATTCTAAAATTATTAAATTCCATCACTAAAATGATGGCCTTGAAAAGGTAAATGAGATAGTAAAACAGAAAGCAGTAGTTACATAAGTTCACAAACGTTATACCATACCTATACATTTTTGTTTGTTTGATAGACTTACTACATGTTCTGAATATTTCAACAAAACTTTGGGACATGTTCTGAATATTTCAACAAAACTTCAAAGTTTCTCAATATACCCTGTGGACTAGATGGAGACATGTGGGTTGACTGACAGGCAGTACTTTAGGTAGATATTTATAACTCTCTGAATGGCTATACTAAAAGAATGATAATGGAAAAAATTAACTACATAAGACCTTTATCCTTAATCTCAACCTTATTATTAATTAAGGATATCTTTATCTCATTCAACTTTTTTATTAAGGATAGAAAAAGTATGCTTATCAATTTTGCAGATGACACAAATCTGGGCTGTCAGCTAACACGCTAGATGACAGAATCAGCATCCAAAAAGACCTAAGCAAGCTAGAAATATGGGCTGCAATGAATAAGATATTTAGTAAAGATAACCGTCAAGGCGTATCCTCAAACATAAAAAAATCAATCACACTAGGATTGGTCTAGATCAGGGTTGGCAAACTACTGCCTGTGAGCCAAATCTAGCCAGCCACCTGTTTTTGTATAGTCAATGTGCTAAGAATGCTTTTTATTTTAAAATACTTTTAAAAGTAAAATATTTTGTGACACATGAAAATTATATGAAATTACGTGCAATTCACACTTCAGTCTCCCTGAAGTTTTATTGGAATATGGCCAACATTCATTCATTTATACATTGTCCATGGCTACTTTTGTGCTATAGACAGAAGTGAGTAGCTATGACAAAGAGTATAAGGCTCGTAAAGCCTAAATATTATTACCAGGTCCTTTAAAGAAAAAGTTTGCTGATCATTGATCTACATATATAAAAAGTATAGGTTTGGTTCATTACAAAGTCACTATAAGGCAGGAGTGCACTGTATCTGACCCCAAAGGTAAAGGAATGGATCTTAGATATTAACAGAGTTAAGGAGGAACTACATTCAGTTAGAAATTTTGAACTCCAACTAAGCACCAGGTACTATGCTAGTGATGCAAACATGACCACAAACTAAGATAAAGGCAGTGACTAAGACTTGGTTCCTTGCTTTTAAGCTCAGAGTCAAGGAGGATGGACAAGCATGAAACTAACATTATGTGCTAATAGTGTGACCTACATCCAGAATACTGTATTCAGTTCTGAGCAGTATATTTTAAGGAAGACATTATCAGTCTTGGTATTATTTAAAGGAGAGCAAAAAGTTTGTGATAATCTATATACTGTTACATAGAGAAAGTTGAAAGAATATGGGCTGAAATGACTCAAGAGAGGTAAGAGATACATGACCACAATTTTTAATATCACAAGTGTTCACAAATGGAAAAAGAATTAGAATTTTTTTTTTTTTACAACTGTAAGTGGGAGAACTAGACTCAACAAATACACATTTTAAGCAGGAAGACATCATAGATATAAAAACTTTCTGGCAAAGTAAAAATTTTAAATCTTTTCCATTCCTGAAAGTGTTCAAGAAGACTAGGTGATATCTATGAATGAAACTAAAGGATTACTGTATTGGTGGTTTAGATTGAATCAAATTCTAGGAAAGGTATATTATAAACAGATAATGAAGAATTTTAAAAGCCAAGTTAAAGACAATGCTTTATCTTGTAGTCCCGTGGTTCTCAACCAGACTAGGGGTGATTTTGCCATGCAGGGGACATCTGACAATGTCTGGAAACAGTTTGACTGTCACAAGTTGGAAAGGAGGGTGATTCTATTGGCATCTAGTGGGCATTTCATGATGCTGCTAAATATTCTATCATGCACAGGACAGTCCCCTCAACAAATAATTATCTCACATAAAATGTGAATGGTGCAGAGGTGGAAAAACTGCAGTAATCTACTTTTGGGGTGGTAACGTAGGGGTTAGAGACTTTGGGAGAGGGTTTGCTTTAAAAAAGAGTTATATTTTAGGGAAAAGTATCTAGCATTGACTTGTAACATATGATAATGAAGAGAATGTATTCCTCAAATATTCAGTTTTCTTACATGTTATCAAATCTAAGTTGTCTGAGAGAAGCAGATACATTCTTTAATATAAAACTTATTTCATACCTCCTATATCTATCAATATCCTTCCTATTTCCTTTGTTGGGTAGAATTATTTAAATAACAGGTAAGAAATGGCAGAAATTGGGTTCTCTTTAAGGTTCCTTTATTGTAATTAATGAGAAAGAGGCAAACTAACCCCAAAGAAACCCATGGAACAACTACTTAGCATATATGTTGCTTCCACAACTCCAAAATGCAGAGTTTGGGATGTAGTATAATCTCTCATCCTGGGATAACCTATTTTTAACACATGTATTTCCTCAAGGCCTCAGTTTATCAAAGGTGGTGGACTCTAGCGTGCTATTCTTTGCATTTCTAAACACCCCTGACCCTGAACTTCTCTGGAATGCCTTCACCTGTCCTCTAAATCCAGGGCCACTTAGCCATCCATTCACTTCCCACATGGCCTTTCTGGCCCTTTCCGAAAATTTCTCCAGATTAGTCCTCAGTTCACTTTCTCCCTGAGCAGCTCCTTGGTTCTGGTACTTTTAGACCTTTTCCCATAAGATCCATTGGGAGCTTCCGTGTAAATCAGAAAACAGCTAACCTGTCTCCCGGTGCCACGGTCTACGTTTGGTATCATTCAAAAGGCAAACCAGTTCTGACACCGCCTTTTCCCCTCCATCCAAAACCCTTCTCCTTAGCCCAAGGCCAACTTAAAACCTACAAGGATCTTAAGCACTCATACTTTTTTAAATACCCCGGCTCAAAATATATAAAATATATTAAATGAACCCACATTCTACATTAAATATAATGCATAACTATATGGGTTACGTTGTGGTGTTAGGTTACCTTTCGTAGATTTATTTAGGTTTGCAATTGTTTTTCCCTTTTGGGAGTCAAAACATTATTTCAGAACTCAAAAAAGTTTGTGGGCTGGCACTAGTGTCTCTAGGGCTAAGGGAACAGACCTGCGTCAGACTTCCCCCTATAGGGGTCCGCTCACCGGCCGCCCCTCAGCGCCTTTCCGCCTCCCGCCTCCGCGTTGCACGTCCCCTCATGACCCTCCCCCCCATTCTCACTCGCTCCCTTCACCACTACCATCCCTCTCCGTCGGCCTCGTCCAGCCAGGCTCCCACCTCCCCAGGGGAGGAACTAAGCTTCGATAGGTGCCAGTTAACAAACCCTAATGGGTTTGACATGGACCAGCCCCCACTTCCTGCTTTTGTAATTGTTCACTTCCCCCCCGCCGCCCCCCCCCCCCCCCTCCCCCCCCTCCCCCTCCCCCCGGCCTCCACAGTTTCCAGGCGCGCGCACATCCCTACTTCGGACTCTTCGCTCCACCCCACTCGCAGGCCCCGCCCCGCATGTCCTGGGCCCGCCCTCGACCCTGCCTGCCGTCTCACCCCTTCCGGCCCCGGCCTCTTCGGAATTCCCAGGCGCACGCACATCCCTACTCCGAGTTCTTCTCTGTACCCCGCCCTCAGGCCCCACCCCTAGGCCACGCCCCCGAGCTCATCTTTACTTCGCCGGCCGAGCTGCGCAGCCCTGCCCAAAGGCCTTAACCCCGGGCAAGAGCACTGCCTACTCTCCCGCAGCTTGATCACTGGGGCCTGCTAGACCCACGTACCCACCTCCGAGCGAACACGCACGCGCAGTGCCCACCTCTCCGGGCTCCGAGCTCTTGGCCCTCAGGTCGCCTGCCCAGGGCCGGGCCCCGCCTCTAGGCTCGGCCCCGCCCCTCATGCCGGGTCCCGCGCACGCGCGTCTCCCTTGCCCAGCCTTCCCCCCTGCCTGTCAGCCCCGCGGTCCCAAGGCGGTAAGTCGCCTCCAGCCCCCCTCCCTCCTCCCATCCTCTCTCTGTCCCACGCTCCTTAGCTTTGTGCCTCGGGCGCTGAGCCGTTTTTCACCTCTCCTCAGCCGCGCCGTGGAAGGAGAGAGCTGCCACCGAGGAGTGCAGCTCTCTGCCCCAGGCAGGGGCACAGGTAGGTGGCGGCCGCGGGCTGGACGGCTCACGGAGCCCCGGGCGGCGAGTGGGGGCGGGGGCGGTGTGTGACGGAGGGGCGGAGTGGGGGAGGGGAGGACCAGGAGGAATGGGGTTGGGGTGTGTGGTTGGGTGAAAGGTGTGAGGATGAGGATTTAGGCGTGTGGGAGATGGGTTTATGGGTGAGGTTCGTGGTGCTGGGGCAGGTCATGGGGACGTAGGAATTGGGGTTCGGGGTAGGATAGGAGAAGGGAGGAGGATTAGCTTGGGTATACTCGGGGAGGGGCATGCGTGAGAATTTAGAGAGATGAAGAATTGCCCTGCTGGGTAAGGGGCTTTGAGGAGTACAAGGAGGAAAGGATCTAGGATTAGAATAGGAGAAAGGGTGGGGTCTTGGAGGTAGGGAAGAAAGAAGTTGGGGCTGTGGATTGTGAAATTAGGCATAATAAGGCCTGAAGGAAGAGGATTTTGAAGGTTGAGGACAAGAGGACAAGGAAAGAGATGGAGAGATTGGGGTCCTAGGAGATGGAATCCCAGAGTGAAAGGAAGGGTATAGATGGTAAAGGACAGAGAAAGAGTGCCTGCTGGTTAGAGTGGGTGGACGTGGAATGGTTTGGGGAAGGAGGGGGAGGCAGATGGTGGTGAGATTGGGTCTGGGGGACAGGGAGCCAGATTTCAGAAGGGCCATGGAAGTATTAGAAGGGCATAAGAGAAGTAAGGGCATAGGAACTGGAAGTGGGTGAAGGAAGGAGGAGTTAGGATTTTGGGTGTGGAGATTGGATTTTGTGTGAGCGGCTCTCGAGTTAGCAGGGAGAAAAACTATGAGTGTCAAGATGTGGAAGAGATTGGTATGTTCATGGGGGAAATAGGGAGCTGGATATGGTGTGACTCTCTGGAGCTTGGGAGAGAAAAGGGTATGGGTAAGAAGGCAGGTAGGAAATGAAAGTTACAGGAAGAAAGAAATGGTGAGAAGTTGAAAATCAAATAATGGTAGTTGACAGAACAATGAAGGTAAGATTGTTAGTTGATTATTGGTGGTTTGGAACTAGTTTCTGTTCAGGTTTTTATGTTAGAAATTTTCTCAAGAATTTTGCATTTCCCAATAAACCAAGGATGTCTGCAGCTTTGGGATGAAGGCCATGGATTGACAGTTTTTCTGGTGTGTGGATGTGGGTAATTTCTGCCCTGGCAGAGGGAAGAAGTGAGGCCTCAATGTAGCTCTGTCCTGGCTCTGTTCCCACCAACTCTTTCCTCAGATGTTCACTGTTTTTTGTGGGGGGGTGGGGTGGGGTGGGGTGTGTGTGTGTTTATCTCCTTCCTGTCTCCCCTGGATTGAGTCAGTAAATACCAGAGGGATCAAACAGGTGGATGAGATTAATTTTTAACATCTTTTTTTTATCCTTAAGGCTGATGTCATATTTTTATTCTTAAGAGACAACATCATGCAGTGGAAAGAGCTTGAACTTTGGAGTAATACAGCCTTGAGATTGAATTCTGGCTCTGCCACTTACTAGCTCTGTTCCATAAGTAAGTTACTTTGCTTCTCTGAGCCTCTTCATCTGTTCAACAGCAATCCTGACCTCATAGGATTGTTGAGGATTACATGAAATCATTTAATACAGTACCTAGCACAGTCCTTGGCAACTGGTAGGTGCTTAGTAAATGGTTGCTATCATACCCACTATCACTAGCATCCTAATCATTACTATAATTAAGAATAATCATTATTTTTCTTAGAGGATTGTTAATTTACCTACTAAAGTTAGGTGTTTTCCTCTCTTTCTCTTCAAATTAGATAGCTGTAGACTCAGTTCACAATTTTAATCCTGTTGCCAACCTCCCCTCCCCCCATTTGACTGGGATAGTCCTGTTTCTTGTTTGGTAAACTGGCTTCAAGATATAAAAAGCTGTAGTGTTTATCAATTTCTTTATCTTGCCTCTTATTCAAAAGGCTATAGAGAACTTTTAATGTAGTTTATGTTCTTCATTTGATGAAATGACATGCTTTGTGGTAACTTTGGCCCATTCATGGTGGCCAAATACTAGAACATGCACTATTGTGATATTTTTTGTGATGTTGTATGGGTTACAAAACTGCCTCTTTGTAGGAAGCTGGAAGACTATTAAAATGCTTGTTACTCTGTTGACCTAATATAAAATATAGCTAATGCAGATCTACACTAAACATTGTTATTCTTACAGATGCTGATGATTTTAATTTTTCCGTTTGCAGAAGGTTTTTGCCATGGTATGTCTCCTGAGGGCGCCCATTTATAATAGACCACCATGTGCAACAGCCAGGCACAAGCAAAAGCCAAGTACAGAAGCTTTGTGTGGAATTCACTTGCTTTACGGTTCTGAACCTTGAAAGGTTTAAACACTAATATAATTCTTAGATCATTTTATAGTACCTTACAAATTTTCAGGATACTCCTTATTGAGAGAATGCAAGATGCACATATTTAGTAGTAGAAATCACAGGTCACCAGGATACCCTGAACCAAGGTGGGTTCCGCAAATGCCATAGTTGAAGAGTAGAGAGGCCTGGAGGCTTCTGGACAGATGATGTAGGTTTACTTTTTAGGAAATATTGGATTTCTTTTCATCATGTAGAAAGGAAATTAGCATTTGGTGAGTAATTTAAAGGTAAACTATAGCCGGAACTGTGCCTTTTTTTGAAAATGATCCCTGGAAGCAGGAGCTGCCAGGATTGGGGGCAGCCTGGGTTAACGTCCTTACTCTTGTCCCAAGCTGCTGTGCCCTCTGCTGGGTGGAATCAGACTTTTCTGCTTTTCACCCAAAGTAGTCATCCATTCATCCATTTGTCCATTTTACTCCAAAGTTTGTTGAAGGCAGTATTGGAGGTGAGGTTTAGGGATAATACAGATGGGCAGACCCTATTTCTTTGTCAGGGAGCTTATAATGTACTGATCTATTGTAATATGTTACCTTCCATTGAATTTACCTTTCTTTTAAAGTCAGGTCATTCCTTTTTAGGTCCATGCCTGATGTCTACTTTCTGATATACAGATAGAATAGGGCTCTGAATATCCAATCATAGGGATAAAGACCAAAGGGGATCTGCTTTATCTCCTGGTCAAGATTAAAGTCTGTGAGGTTGAAGGCACCAGATGCTTACTTCTACTGGAAGAAGATCTTAGAATAAATGAGGTATCTTCTGAGCAGCAGGCACTTAATACTGGCAAGAGTATCAGTTATAAGAGCTGTCACTGTGGCAGGAGGTTTTTTTCTGGTTTGTAGATTTTTTTCCCCCATGGTAGTACCAGTAGCAATATACTCCCATCATCTGCTTTTCTTCTACCACCTGCAGAAGGATCTGGCAAGTGGGGGAGGTGCTGCAGCTGTTGCCTGGAAGAGGCGCTGGCTCCTAGCAACAGTATCAGCAGGCCCTGAAGCTCAGAGCACTAAGTCTGTCCCTTTGAGGTCTCACCCTTCGTCCCAGTCAATTCAGCAAATAATCTGTCAAGGGCTTACTCAGTACTAGGCACTATGTTGGGTCTAGGAAAGAGAGATAAATCAAATAAGCGCCTTGCCTTCAAAGAGCTCACAACTCTGGGGACATTAGTAAGAGAAAGACATAATGCACGGTGCTAATTTATAATGCAGTGGTGCTCTGGGAAAAACCAGACAGGCATGCACTGGTGCAGAGGTTAGGGAAGCAGAAGAGGGTGTTCCAGCCAAAAGGAGCAGAATGGGCAAAGGCCATTGGGACAAGAGAACATAGCCAGCTTACCTGGGTCATATGGCATGGCTAGAGTAGGGCATAAGGAAATGAGCAGAAAAGGTTGAGGCTCCCAGACTAGGCAGGTCCCTCTTTTCTGATGTGTTTTTACACACATAATTATCCTCAGGAGAAACATGGATTGTTATATGTGTAAAAACACTGATGCCCACAAACAGGATCAACTGTTTGATCTCCAGGGACTCAGCATTTTTGATCACTAACTTGATTGCTGACTCTTTTAAGTGGCATCAGAGCTGCATCTTAGCCCTCTATTGATGCAGAAAAAGCTGAATTGGTTCACTCTAAAAGTCAATCAGAGTCTTTTAGAGATAACAGCAGCTTTTTTACCTATATTATATTAAATTTTACCTCTCCTCCCTTTAAATTGTTGTAGAAATGATCATCAAATATTTTCACTTTATTTAACATAGCAATTTCTTGTGTATTTTGAAATCTCACAGTTTCTCAGGAAAACATTTATTCCAGTTAGTGCTTGTGCACAAAATGTCATCCAAATTATCACATAAATACCCAACTGTTTTTGATACTTTGCCTTATCTTAAAAGTGCCCTAATCGAACCTTAATAGATGTGAAGCTTCCAGGGGCTATAATAGCTTTTATTTAGCTCTTGTGATATAGATTTTTTAAAATCCTGTTGCTTGCGGTCTATGTAAGGTTTAGGAAATGAGTAAACTTTAGTCCTGCAAGTAAGTATCTGCTCAGGGACTATTACATACCAGAGCATTTTGTTAGGGAGTCTGGATGAATTAAATATGGTCCCTTCTCAAGGAGCTCAAACCAGCGGAACACAGGCCAGGAAACAAATCAGTAGCAGAATGGTGGGCCAAGTGCAACCAAAAAGTGTGTAGAAAGGGCCAAGATAACAAGGGAG